TTGTTAATCCTTTGGCCTAAAACCGCCCCCACCGCAATGTCACTAGCATCGCACATGAGCTCAAATGGTAAGCTCCAATTTGGTGTGGTGATGATGGGGGTAGTTGTCAACTTTTGTTTAAGAAGCTCAAAAGCCTCCATGCATTTCTCATCAAAAACAAACTTGGCATTTTTCTCTAGCAACTTGCACAGCGGGTTAACTACCTTAGAAAAATCTTTGATGAACCTCCAGTAGAAATCCGCGTGCCCAAGAAAACTCCTCACCCCTTTAACAGAAGTAGGGGGAGGAAGCCTTGAAATAACCTCAATTTTGGCCTTATCCACTTCAATTCCTCGCTTCGAGATCTTGTGACCCAACACTATACCTTCTTCTACCATAAAATGGCACTTTTCCCAGTTTAGAACAAGGTTGGTATCTTCACACCTAGCCAACACTCTATCCAAGTTTAACATGCATTCCTCAAAAGAATCCCCAACCATGCTGAAATCATCCATGAAGACCTCCAAGATATCTTCCACCATGTCGGTGAAAATAGCCATCATGCAACGTTGGAAGGTCGACGGAGCATTACATAATCCAAATGGCATTCTAGAAAAAGCGAATGTGCCATAAGGACATGTAAAAGTCATCTTTTATTGGTCCTCCGGGGCAATGAGAATTTGATTGTACCCCGAGTAACCATCCAAAAAATAATAGAAAGCCCGGCCCGCAAGACGATCAAGCATTTGGTCAAGGAATGGCAATGGGAAATGATCTTTTCTAGTTACCTTGTTCAGCTTCCGATAATCCATACAAACTCTCCAACCCATCATTGTCCGAGTCGGAATAAGCTCATTGTTGTCATTGGTCACTACAGTCATTCCACCTTTTTCGGTCACATTGCACCGGTGAAGTCCATGAACTGTCAGAAATGGGATAAACCACACCTGCGTCAAGCCACTTGATGACCTCTTTCTTTACTACTTCTTGCATAGCCTCATTTAGTCTTCTTTGATGCTCAAGTGAAGGCCTCGCATCCTCCTCCAATATTATTTTATGCATGCAAAAGGCGGGGCTTATACCCCGAATATCAGCTAGAGTCCATCCGATTGCCCTTTTTCGCTTTTGAAGAACTGCCAAGGTGGCCTCAACCTGCATGTTAGTAAGGCAAGAAGAAAGAATAACAGGTAAAGTAGAATTTGAACCCAAGAATTCATACCTGAGGTGTGGAGGAAGTGGCTTCAACTCCAACACCGGTGGCTCCTCAATCGATGGCTTTGTTGGTGGAGTTTTGCGGTTTTCAAGATCTAAAGATAGCCTTCTAGGCTCATAAGAATATGAACCCATACCGTGTAATGCATTCACGCACTCCACTCTACTAGCATCATCATTGACATCCATATTAAGAAGCATGACCTCAAGAGGATCTTCAACATTGATCATGGCACTTGTGTCATCCACTATCACAGCTGTGACAATGTCCACAAATGAACACACCTCCGTGCTATTGGGTTGTCTCATTGATTTGCAAACATGGAATACCACCTTCTCATCTCCCACTTGGAATGTCAACTCACCCGCTTCAACATCAACCAATGCCTTCCCCGTAGCCAGGAAAGGCATATCAAGAATAATCGGCACTCAAAGTCCACCTCACAATCTAATATGACAAAGTCGGTCGGCAATATGAATTTATCAACACGGACAAGAACATCATCGATTATGCCCAAGGGTCGCTTCATCGATCGATCTGCCATNATCGATCCGCCATTTGAAGTCTCATTGAGGTAGGTCGAGGTTGCCCAATTCCCAAAGTCTTGAAGACCGAGTACGACATCAAATTAACATTAGCCCCCAAGTCACATAGGGCCTTAGCAAAATCCGCACTTCCGATAGTACATGGGAGAGTAAAAGCTCCGGGATCCTCAAGCTTGGGTGCCATTGAATGAACTATGGCACTCACTTGATGAGTCATCTTAATTGTTTCACACTCCATCGACCTCTTCTTTGTAACCAAATCTTTCATGAACTTCGCATACCCCAGCATTTGCTCAAGTGTCTCAACCAAAAGGACATTAATTGTGAGGCTCTTCATCGTGTCAATGAATTTTTTGAATTGATTGTCACTCTTTTTCTTTGCTAACCGTTGCGGATAAGGTGGAGGTGGCCTAGGCAAAGGTGCCTTGGCCTTTTGTACAACCGGCTCGGGCATGTCAATCACGTGTTCCCTAGACGGGTTCACAGCATCTTGAGTCTCCACCTCGGCTTCATCATCAATATCAATCCGCACATCATTGTTCACATTTTGATTAACAATATCATCCAATCAAAGGTACATCATCATCCCACAACTCAACATCTTCATCCATAGCTTGCTTTTGCATCGAGGCATTCACATCACCGCCTCTTCCACTTCTTGTTGTAACTGCCATCACATGATTATTATTCCCACCCTTCGCGTTCACCACCGTATCACTTGGTAGAGAACCCTTGGGATGAGTATTCAATGCTTGAGAGATTTAGCCTAATTTCACCTCCAAGTTCCGGATAGATGTGTTATGTGAAGCTAATTGGGTCTCGGAATCTTGGTTCTTTTTCATCAGTTGCTCGAACATGCTTTCAATTCTCCCCATATCACTTCCGAACGAACTCAGACCTTGAGAAGGAAAGGGGGGTGGATTGTTCGGCTANGTGCAAAGGTTCTGTTGGCTCTTGCTTGAAAGCTAGAATTTCATCCCGAAGAGCTGCCATATGAATTGGAGAAAAGAACTTGGAAATAAATTTGTCCGCTAATTTATCCCATGTTGTAATAGAATGATTGGGGAGCCTTTCTAACCAATCCAATGCTTTACCCCGGAGAGAGAACGGGAAAAACCTCAGCCTCAATGCATCCTCGGACACATTTGTCTGCTTGCTACCCCAGCATGTATCCACGAACCCTTTCAAGTGCTTGTAGGCATTTTGATTGGAGGCACCCATGAAATACCTTCTTTGCTCAAGCAAGGTCAACATAACATTTGTGATTTGAAAGTTCCCCGCCCGAATTCGGGGAGGAACAATAGCACTGGTGTATCCTTGATTTGGTAGAACTCTGGGAGCCACTCTCGGTGAAGGCGGATGAGGATCTGGAATATTGTTGTTCTCATTTGCATTTACATTGGCATTTCGGCCTCTCCGTGGAACTTGAGGTAAGACCTCATCTTATTCTAGATCATCTACCTCCTCCCCCGCCATCACATTGCCGAGAGGGTCATTTGCATTAAGAGCCATGGTACCTGATCGATCGACACAAACAAAATTAGTAAACAAGAAGGAAAGAGAAGAAAAACACAAAACTAACTAAACGGATAGTCAAAACTGTAAGCTCCCCGGCAACGGTGCCAAAAGTGATCGCTGCCAACTCGACACTACGTTGTGGTAGGAAGAGCGGGTCGCAATAGCTTTTACCCGAATGGAGGTCCGGGATTGAATTTCCATATGAAGTTAGTCGTGGAGTTGTATTTTCTGTTTAGCCTAGAGTTGCGGTTGTGCTTCTAATGTCACTTCAAACAATTTTGGGTTTTTGATTTATAACTATTTTTATAAGACTATTGATTAACACTAAATTATACTACAAGAATATTGCTAAGTTGTATCTAATGGGAAGAAGGGCACTAGGGTCATGACACTACCTAGGTGGCTAATTGACGGGTAGATGTTACTTAGGTTCGATTGACATATTTGGGGCTTATGCTATAATCGTTGCACAATCTTACCCACTCTCACACCTCTCGGTAGAGAGAGTGATTTTTTGCCCAATTGACTCTCTCGAGACCAAATGGGTAGGCAAATTAGACCAAACAACTGGGGTTCAAGTAGAGTGATTACTCTCTCGAGATTTAACCCGTTAATTGGGACTATCATTTCTCATGAGTCCATCCCAATTCCTTATTGGGTCAATTTTGGGGTCATAGACTCTCTTTCTCAAGAAGAGTTAAACCCACAAAGCTTGAATCAGTGTTTGCAACCACCAATTCTAAATTAAATCATAAATTCAACCCAAATAACAAACACCCATAGTCAATCTAACCTTAGATGGCAATATCCATCAATTACCCACACTAGGGTTGATCCACAACCCTAGCTAATGGGTTTAGCCACTCATGCTAGATACGGAAATTGAAGAGATAGATAAAGAACTAAACATATTAATTAATTACTAAGAAGAAACTACAGTAATCTATATTTAATGGAAAGCAAAATATGCCAAAAATGGCTACAACACCAAGCGCAGCTTTTTTCTCTAGTTCCCAGATAAATCGATCCCTAAAAAAATAGTAAAATGTTCTATTTATACTAGGATGGAAAAACTGGACAAAAATATCCCTGCGGGGTCAGTGTGGGCCGCACAAAACGGATCGTGGCCGCACTGGCGCTTGAACTTCAACTGTTTGATGACTTGAGTTGGGGGACGCGGACCACGTGGCAGTGTACCGCGGCCGCGATGGCAACTGGCGCGGTCCACACAGTCGTGACCACGGACTGCGTGATCAAAGATGCCTTTCCCTTAACCTTATGAACGCGGACCGCACAGCGCAGGAGTGCGGCCGTGAAGCTCCACCGCGGACCGCGAAGATCCTACCACGGCCGCGTGCCTTTTAGCCTGAATATGTCAAGTCTCTGAACCTCCTAGTGCGGTCGCGGTAACTGTTGTGCGGTCCGCACTAGGCCCTTTCTTCTTCAATTCTCTTGGTCTTTGGTACTTCAGCATGTTTCACTCCTTTTTGAGCCGATCTTTGACATTTCGTCACTTTGTCGATCAAACCTGCGATCAAGCACAATTTGTGAGCATTTAGGAACTAATTTGTAGCAATTTATATTAAAAGCATAGGCAAGCAGGGGCAATAACACGTTAAAATCCTAACTTATCAAAACCCACATTACCCGAGTGCAATCATCAATAAAAGATACAAACGATTTAGCACCTAAAATATTTGAAACTGTAGATGGCGCCCAAATGTCACTATGAATGAGATCAAACGGAAACATAGTTCTTGTATTATTGACAGAAAAAGAAACACGCCTATGTTTGGCTAGTTCACAATCATTGCAATGAAAACACTATTGTTAAACCCTTAAAAAATAGAGGGAACATAATCTTGACAATTTGAAAAGAAGGATGACCCAAACGATGATGATAAAGCCAAATTATTTATTCACTAAATATGACTGACTCAAATATGAAGGAGCGAGGGAGAGAATTCAAAGCTTCATTCTTTAGGTTCAGGTTTTTCAAGTAATAGAGCCCGTTTCTGACTTTAGCAAGCCCAATCATCTTCTTGGTTTCCTGTTCCTAGAAAATACAATAGGAAGGGAGAAAAATTACTTGGCAATTAAAGCGAACATGAACCTTTTGAATTGAAATAAGATTAGCAAACAATTTTGGAACATGAAGCACATTTTTAAGGCATAGAGAATTTAAGCGAACAGCTCCATATCCGACTACAGTAGCGAAAGAACCATCAGCAATGGTAATTTTTCTATGGCTTAGTCAATGGGTATAGGACGAAAAGTATTTAGAAGAAGAGGTCATGTGGTCTGTTGCTCTAGAATAAACTATCCACGGGAAGAAATTACTTGTCATGACATTAGCAGTACAACAAAGAGAAGAGATACCTGAGAATGTTAGAGAACATGTACCTGTCTCGGCTGGATTACTTTTGTCTAAAGAACTAAGCAAACCTTTCAGCCTTTTAATATCTTCTTGACTGATCTCCGGATTTGACTTAGCAGAATTAGTCATGTTGGTGAGTACTTGCAACATAAGCATGTCTTCCTTTCTCGCCCTTATGGTTATTGTTCTGTGGTTTACCGTTCAGCTTCCAGCATCTCTCTTATGTGGCGATATTACAGTAGGTGCAATAGAAGGAATCTCTATTGAATTGTTTTGAAGCATTTATTGGCTTGGTAGAATTGTCCGATGGCTGTAGCATGCTATTTTCCTTTTGCCCAGCCCCCTTTACAACAAATGTTGATCCTTCTCCGGCTTGAGTGTCAAGCATAACACTCTTACGCCCTTCTTTAGCCCGTACAATTGAAATTGCTTCATTCAGTGATGAAAGTTCCTCTTTTTCCAATATTTGTACCCTTACTGGATCAAGTTCAACATTAAGTCCAGTAAGAAAGTCATATGCGCATTCCCTTTCTATAAAGCGCTTTAACGTTACTGCATCTTCTGGGCATCGCATCTGAATGCATTGGTTTTTTTTAGCGACAAATACGCATTTTATTCATCTCCGACAGCATATTACATTGGGTTGAGGGAGAAGCCAAAACCTATAAACTCCCTAAGAAAAGGTTGAAAGATAGACAATTCTATCTTTTTATACAAAACGAAGTGTTTAAGGATTACCGCCAGACGCACTACTTTCAATCACGGTGGATGATAAACAATGCCAGTCTTTTTCTTGTTTGATATACGAAAATTAGGCAGATTCCATCTATCAACATTAAGGATCCCTCTAATGTGACTTTGAAGGGATGTAAAGTTGTGAAAGATTTGCTTTGAGAGAGATTATAGCTCAATGCTACCATCCTGTCAGTAGCATGGTTAGCTTCCCTGACGCAGTGTGTCAAGACAAACCCATTTTGTTCTTTATGTCTTCTTAATTCTTCCACTTCTTGAGATATTCGCCAAGAACTTTTGTAGAATCCATTCACACAGTCTACTAACAATTTTGAATCACTTTCAGCTATAAAATGATTCAACCTTTTAGTAATGCACTAATTAATACCAAATAACAGAGCTTGTGCTTCTGCCCAGTTACTCGTTCCAGGCCCCAAAAGGAGGATGTATGCGCAAATTAGGTGGCCATCATTGTTCCTAATCACTCCTCCCCCTCCACAAATGCCATCTTTGCAATTTGGTAGTGATTAATCTCTTGCCACAGCCCCTGCAAGAGATTGGAATATTCAGTGACTGATCGTGCCCTCTGCTTCATGGCTGTAACCTTCGTCTTAAGTTCATATATTCGGGATGCATCATTTACCTTTGAGTATGGTTTGTTGGATTGCTTTCCATATCTCCTTAGCCGTACTCAGAAACATCACTGTATCACTTATTTCTAGAATCATTGAATTCCAGAGCCAAGACATGACCATTGAGTCTTGCTCATCCCAGGCTTCAAACTTGGGATCTTCCTTAGACGGGCCCGTACCCAACAGATGACTTAACTTTCCTTTGCCTTTCAAGAATGTCCGAACGAACTGTGACCATTTCAGAAAATTTTGTCCATTCAACTGGTAAGGTGCTTGGACATTTTGCTAATCACCGGTTGTGGTGATAGCAGGACTGATCTCGGTGGTTTCAGGCATTTTATCCTTGACTTTCAGGTTTCAACAAGTCCACAAGGAAAATAAAAAGTTTCAATCTCAAGAGAATGATGAGAAATGAGAAGGAATTCTCTCAGGAAAGATCCAAAAGCTCTGATACCATGTTAAAAGTTGAAGAAAAAGGTATATTGTCTTTCTCATCTTCACAATGTACAGACTAGGGGTTTATATAAAGAGATTACAAATAAAGCTAGCTAGAGATATCTCTACAAATCAGGGATACAGATCGTATCTAATCTTCCTAGGATAAATATGGAAAAAATATCTCAGCTATTTACGGAAATATATCTTCCCTAAAGTTGTTGTACAACTGTAACAAATATTTTCCTAATCTGACAGTTATAAATAATATAATAAAGAGTAAACAAACAAACTCCATAATAAGAAGACTTTAAAAGGTTTTTTTTTCAGTTTCTAGTACTAATTTATCGTTATATACTTTTAGAACAAATAATAGAACATTTACTTTATGTTATCCATGACTGTCATGTTCAATGTGCGTCCATAGTAGTTGCTTTTTTAACTCACCAACAATATCTTGAAGACACTTAATCGCAAATGGACCATATATACTGATGTCATAGTTTTCCCAATCAAATGTATGATAGTAGTCCAAGAACCTATACAACCAAATTCACAAATCATTGGTTAGTATATACTTATGTTGAAATAACAAATACTAACTTACAGACTAACCACCAAAGGGCCATCTACAGATGAATAAAATCGATTAATTATATGCAAAACCAGTATCTCTAATGTGTAAGTTGAGATCAATCCGGACTGAGCACCAAGAATCCTACCCTCATAGTAGCACCAGGCTTTGATCAAGATATTGTTGTGCTTAAAAAGATGGCTTCTCCCAAAGTAATGGTTGACGTGTAGAATTTGCAATAGAGGGTGACATATCAGGTAAAAAACAAAAATTAACTGCAACAGAGCTTTTAATTGAATAAAAGCTCAATAGAAGTGGGATTAGGAACAAGAGGGATATAGGCAAAACAGTAATGGGCAGCTCGTAATCTGAAGGTGTCTTCCCTGCCCTCCTCTTTTCCATTGATGGTTTGAAAGGGATAGAGAAAGAAAAAAGGATGTGAAGTGACCTCGCATCACAAGAACAGTGACTGAAAATCATCAGGAATATGACTTAATGTTTATTCAACGGACGCTACACAGATGACAGTATTGGGATTTTTTTTAGCAAAATTGCAATAGATTTAGACCTGTTTAAGAAAGCTCAAAGAACAGAGTACTGTCACTTCATTAAAGGAGATGTCTACAGAGATATGTTGCACGAAGCAATTTACAATCTTCACCTGACAACACAAAATCAAAAGAATAGATAATCAACTATGTACTTTACAATGGATATCAAGAATAGATATCTATTGTCACTACACTAGAAAGTTCGTGGAATAGCTTTAACAAGAGGTACACAAACAATTAACTCTCACCCTACAAGAAAATAATTAGAAGAACCGCAGAAATAGTAATGACATTTAGACAACAAATGTTTGACCAATATACAGATAAAAAAGTAAATAGATCATGGTTTCAAAAAAAAAAACTAAGTGGATCATAAAAAGAGTACAACTAAAATGCTTAATTCTCTATCACAAATTTATTTGTACCTACTTTAAAATTTCAATTAGGAGAAAACAAATTGCAAATGTTGGGGTAGAAATCAAAAAAGCCTAGAAACTGAATCATCATTTTCTTATGATAAAAAATAAAACTATGCGCTTTAACATTTTACTTCGTTATAAATAATATAATAAAGAGTAACAAACAAACTCTATAATAAGAAGACATTAAAAGATTTCTTTCAGTATTTCTAGTACTAAATTATTGTTATGTACTTTTAGAACAAATAATAGAACATTTACTTTATGTTATCTGTGACTATCATGTCCAACATTCGTGCATAGTAGTTACTTTTTTTAACTCATCAACAATATCTTGTAGGCACTTAATCGCAACTAGACCATATATACTGATGTCGTAGTTTTCCTATTCAAATGTATGATAGTAGTCAAAGAACCATTACAAGACCTAGAAATTCAAAAATCGCATTTGGTTATTATATACTTATGTTGAAATAATAAAAAATAACTTACAGACTCAGCGCTAAAGGTCCACCTACAGATGAATGAAACCGATTAATTATATGCAAGACCGGTATCTCTAATGCATAAGTTGAGATCAATCCAAACTGAGCACCAAGAATCCTACCCTCATAGCAGCACCAGACTTTGATCAAGATAATGTTGTGCTTAATAAGATGGCTTCTCCCAATGTAATGATTGATCTGTAGAATTTGCAGTAGAGGGTGACATATCAGGCCAAAAACAAAAAATAACTGCAACAGAGCTTTTAGTTGAATAAAAGCTCAATAGAAGTGAGTTTAGGAACAAGAGGGATATTGGCAAAACAGCAATAGGCAACTCGTAATCCGAAGGTGTCTTCCATGTCCTCCTCTTTTCCACTGGTGGTTTGAAAGGGATAGAGAAAGAAAAAATGATGTAAAGTGACTTAGCATCACAAGAACAGTGATCAGGAATATGACTTGGTGTTTATGCAACGGACGCTACAAAGATGACAACATTGGAATTTTGTTAGCAAAATAGCAATAGATTCAGACCTGTTCAAGGAACTCAAAGAACAGAGACCTGTCACATCATTAAAGAAGATGTCTACAGAGATATGCTGCACGAAGCACTTTACAATCTTCACCTGACAACACAAAATCAAAAGAATAGATAATCAACTATGCACTTTACAATAGATATCTATTGTCATTACACTAGAAAGTTCGTGGAATAGCTATATCAAGAGGTACACAAACAATTAACTCCCAACCTAAGAGAAACTAATTAGAAGAACCGCAAAAATAGTAATGACATTTAGACGAGAAACATTGACCAATATAGAGACAAGAAAGTAAGTGGATCACGGTTACCAAAAAAAAAACTAAGTGCATCATGAAAAGAGTACAATTAAATGGTTAATTCTCTATCATAAATTTATTTGTGCCTACTTTAAAATTTCAATTAGGAGAAAAAAAATTGCAAATGTTGGGATAGAATTAAAAAAAAAGCCTTGAAACTAAAGACACCATTTTTCTTATGATCAAAAATAAAACTATGCGCTTTAACATTTTATTTCGTTATAATTAATATAATAAAGAGTAAACAAACAAACTCTATAATAAGAAGACTATAAAAGATTTCTTTCAGTATGTCTATAACTAATTTATCTTTACATACTTTTGGAACAAATAATAGAACATTTACTTTATGCTATCCGTGACTATCATGTGCAACATGCGTGCATAGTAGTTGCTTTTTTAACTCACCAACAATATCTTGTAGGCACTTATTCGCAAATGGACCATAAATACTGATGCCATAGTTTTCCCAATCAAATGATTGATAGTAGTCCAAGAACCTATACAAGACCTACAAATTCACAAATCACATTTGGTTATTATATACTTATGGTGAAATAACAAATACTAACTTACAAACTCACTGCCAAAGGGCCATTTACAGATGAATGAAACTGATTAATCATGTACAAGACCAGTATCTCTAATGCATAAGTTGAGATCAATCCAGACTGAGCACCAAGAATCATACCTACAAAATAATGTTGTGCTAAAAAAGAAAGCTTCTCCCAATGTAATGGTTGACCTGTAGAATTTGCAATAGAGGGTGACATACCAGGCCAAATATAAAAATTAATTGCATCAGAGCTTTTAGTTGAATAAAAGCTCAATTGAAATGAGTTTAGGAACAAGAGGGATATAGGCAAAACATCAATAGGCAACTCGTAATCCGAAGGTGTCTTCCCTGCCCTCTTCTTTTCCACTGGTGGTTTGAAAGGGATAGAGAAAGAAAAAAAGATGTGAAGTGACTTAGCATCACAAGAACAATGATTGAAAATAGTCAGGAATATGACTTGGTGTTTATTCAACAGACGCTACAAAGATGACAACATTGGAATTTTGTTAGCAAAACAACAATAGATTAAAGGAGATGTCTACAAAGATATGCTGCACGAAGCACTTTACAATCTTCACCTGACAACACAAAAGCAAAAAAATAGATAATAAACTATGCACTTTACAAAAGATATCAAGAATAGATATCTATTGTCATTACACTAGAAAGTTCGTGGAATAGCTATATCAAGAGGTACACAAACAATTAACTCCCACCCTAAGAGAAACTAATTAGAAGAACCGCAAAAATAGTAATGACATTTAGACGAGAAACGTTGACCAATATACAGACAAGAAAGTAAGTGGATCACGGTTACCAAAAAAAACTAAGTGGATCATGAAAAGAGTACAACTAAAATGCTTAATTCTCTTTCGGAAATTTATTTGTACCTGCTTTAAAATTTCAATTAGGAGAAAAAAATTGCAAATGTTGGGATAGAATTAAAAAAAATCCTGGAAACTAAGACATCATTTTTCTTGTGATCAAAAATAAAACTATGCGCTTTAACATTTTATTTCGTTATAAATAATATAATAAAGAGTAAACAAACAAACTCTATAATAAGAAGACTATAAATAATTTCTTTCAGTATTTCTATAACTAATTTATCGTTATATACTTTTAGAACAAATAATAGAACATTTACTTTATGTTATCCGTGACTATCATGTGCAACATGCGTGCATAGTAGTTGCTTTTTTACTCACCAACAATATCTTATAGGCACTTATTCGCAAATGGACCATATATACTGATGCCATAGTTTTCCCAATCAAATGTATGGTAGTAGTCCAAGAACTTATACAAGACCTACAAATTCACAAATCACATTTGGTTATTATATACTTATGGTAAAATAACAAAATAGTAACTTACAGACTCACCGCCAAAGGTCCATCTACAGATGAATGAAACTGATCAATTATATGTGAATATTTCTAATGTATAAGTTGAGATCAATCCGGACTGAGCACCAAGAATCAAACCTACTAGATAATATTGTGTTAAAAAAGATGGCTTCTCCCAATGTAATGGTTGACCGGTAGAATTTGCAACAGAGGGTGAAATACAAGAAAAAATACAAAAATTAACTGCATCAGAGCTTTTAGTTGAATAAAAGCTCAATAGAAGTGGGTTTAGGAACAAGAGGGATATAGGCAAAAAAGCAATGGGCAGCTCGTAATCCGAAGGTTTCTTCCCTGCCCTCCTCTTTTCACTGGTGGTTTGAAAGGGATAGAGAAATAAAAAAGGATGTGAAGTGACTTAGCATCACAAGAACAATGATCAGGAATATGACTTGGTGTTAATTCAACTGACGTTACAAAGCTGACAGCATTGGGATTTTGTTAGCAAAACAGCAATAGATTCAAAACTACTGAAGGAAGCTCAAAAAACAGAGTACTGCCACTTCATTAAAGGAGATGTCTACAGAGATATGATGCACGAAGCACTTTACAATCTTCACCTGACAACACAAAATCAAAAGAATAGATAATCAACTATGCACTTTACAAAAGATATCAAGAATAGATATCTATTGTCATTACACTAGAAAGTTCATGGAATAGCTATATCAAGAGGAACACAAACAATTAACTCCCACCCTAAGAGAAACTAATTAGAAGAACCGCAAAAATAGTAATGACATTCAAACGAGAAATGTTGACCAATATAAAGACAAGAATGTAAGTGGCTCACGGTTACCAAAAAAAAGAAACTAAATGGATCATGAAAAGAGTACAGATAAAATGCTTAGTTCTCTATCACAAATTTATTTGTACCTGCTTTAAAATTTCAATTAGGATAAAAAAAATTGCAAATGTTGGGATAGAATTCAAAAAAAGCCTGGAAACTAAGACATCATTTTTCTTATGATCAAAAATAAAACTATGCGCTTTAACATTTTATTTCGTTATAAATAATATAATAAAGAGTAAACAAACAAACTCTATAATAAGAAGACTATAAAAGATTTCTTTCAGTATTTCTATAACTAATTTATCGTTATATACTTTTAGAACAAATAATAGAACATTTACTTTATGTTATCCGTGACTATCATGTGCAACGTTCGTGCATAGTAGTTGCTTTTTTAACTCACCAACAATATCTTGTAGGTACTTAATCGCAAATGGACCATATATACTGATGCCATAGTTTTTCTAATCAAATATATGATAGTAGTCCAAGAACTTATACAAGACCTACAAATTCACAAATCACATTTGGTTATTATATATTTATGTTAAAATAACAAATACTAACTTACAGACTCACCGCCAAAGGACCGTCTACAGATAAATGAAACCGATTATCTATATGCAAGACTAGTATCCCTAATGCATAAGTTGAGATCAATCCGGACTGAGCACCAAGAATCATACCCTCATAGTAGCCCAGGCTTTGATGAAGATAATGTTGTGGTTAAAAAGATGGCCTCTCCCAATGTAATGGTTGACCTATAAAATTTGCATCAGAGGGTGAAATATCAGGCCAAAAACAAAAATTTAGTGCAACAGAGCTTTTAGTTGAATAAAAGCTCAATAGAAGTGGGTTTAGGAACAAGAGGGATATAGGCAAAACAGCAATGGGCAACTCGTAATCCGAAGGTGTCTTCCTTGCCCTCCTCTTTTTCATTAGTGGTTTGAAAGCGATAGAGAAAGAAAAAAGGACATGAAGTGACTTAGCATCACAAGAACAGTGATTAAAAATCACCAAGAATATGACTTGGTGTTTATTCAATAGACGCTACACGGATGACAGCATTGGGATTTTGTTAGAAAACTTGCAATAGATTTAAATCTGTTCAAGGAAGCTCAAAGAACAGTGTCCTGCCACTTGATTAAAGGAGATGTCTACAGAGATATGTTGCACGAAGCACTTTGCAATCTTCACCTGACAATACAAAATAAAAAAATAGATAATCAACTATGCACTTTACAATAGATATCAAGAAGATATCTATTGTCATTACTCTAGAAAGTTCGTGGAATAGCTTTATCAAGAGGTACACAAACAATTAACTCACACTTAAGAGAAACTAATTAGAAGAAACACAAAAATAGTAATAACATTTAGACAAGAAATGTTGACCAATATACATACAAGAAAGTATGCTCATCACGGTTACCAAAAAAAGAAACTAAGTGGATCATGAAAAGAGCACAGCTAAAATGCTTAATTCTCTATCACAAACTTATTTGTACCTACTTTAAAATTTCAATTAGGAGAAAACAAATTGCAAATGTTGGGGTAGAAATTAAAAAAGCCTAAAAACCGAAACATCATTTTTCTTATGATAAAAAATAAAACTATGCGCTTTAATATTTTACTTCGTTATAAATAATATAATAAAGAGTGAACAAACAAACTGTATAATATGAAGACTTCAAAAGATTTCTTTCAGTATTTCTAGTACTAATTTATCGGTACATACTTTTAGAAAAAATAATGAAACATTTACTTTATGTTATCCGTGACTATCATGTGCAACGTGCGTGTATAGTAGTTGCTTTTTTAACTCACTAACAATATCTTCTAGGCACTTAATCGTAAATGGACCATATATACTGATGCCATAGTTTTCCCAATCAAATGTATGATAGTAGTCCAAGAACCAATGCAAGACCTACAAATTCACAAATCACATTTGGTTATTATATATTTATGTTGAAATAACAAATACTAACTTACAGACTCACCGCCAAAGGACCATCTACAGATGAATGAAATCGATTAAATATATGCAAGACTAGTATCTCTAATGCATAAGTTGAGATCAATCTGGATTGAGCACCAAGAATCCTACTCTCATAGTAGCACCGGGCTTTGGTCAAGATAATGTTGTGGTTAAAAATATGGCCTCTCCCAATATAATGGTTGACCTGTAAAATTTGCAACAAAAGATGACATATCAGGCCAAAAACAAAAATTTAGTGCAACCGAGCTTTTAGTTGAATAAAAGCTCAATAGAAGTGGGTTTAGGAACAAAGAGGGATATAGGCAAAACATCAACGGGTAGCTCGTAATCCGAAGGTGTCTTCTCTGCCCTCGTCTTTTCCATTGATGGTTTGAAAGGGATAGAGAAAGAAAAAAGAACGTGAAGTGACTTAGCATCACAAGAACAATGATTGAAAATCACTAGGAATATGACTTTGTGTTTATTCAACGGACGCTACACAGATGACAACATAGGGATTTTGTTAGCAAAATTGCAATAGATTCAGACCTGTTAAAGGAAGCTCAAAGAACAGAGTCGTGCCACTTGATTAAAAGAGATGTCTACAGAGATATGCTGCACGAAGCACCTTACAATCTTCACCTGAAAACACAAAATCAAAAGAATAGATAATCAACTATGCACTTTACAATAGATATCAAGAAGATATCTATTGTCATTACATTAGAAAGTTCGTGGAATAGCTTTATCAAGAGGTATACAAACAATTAACTCCCACCCTAAGAGAAACTAATTAGAAGAACCACAAAAATAGTAATGACATTTAGACAAGAAATGTTGACCAATATAAAGACAAGAAAGTAAGTGGATCACGGTTACCAAAAAAAGAAACTAAGTGGATCATGAAAAGAGCACAGCTAAAATGCTTAATTCTCTATTACAAACTTATTTGTACCTACTTTAATATTTCAATTAGGAGAAAACAAATTGCAAATTTTGGGGTAGAAATCAAAAAAGCCTAGAAACTGAAACATCATTTTTCTTATGATAAAAAATAAAACTATGCGCTTTAACATTTTACTTCGTTATAAATAATATAATAAAGAGTAAACAAACAAACTCTATAATAAGAAGACTTTAAAAGATTTCTTTCAGTATTTCTAGTACTAATTTATCGGTACATACTTTTAGAACAAATAATGAAACATTTACTTTATGTTATCCGTGACTATCATGTGCAGCGTGCGTGCATAGTAGTTGCTTTTTTAACTCACTAACAATATCTTGTAGGCACTTAATCGCAAATGGACCATATATACTGATGCCATAGTTTTCCCAATCAAATGTATGATAGTAGTCCAAGAACTAATACAAGACCTACAAATTCACAAATCACATTTGGTTATTACATATTTATGTTGAAATAACAAATACTAACTTACAGACTCACCGCCAAAGGATCATCTGTAGATGAATGAAACCGATTAACTATATGCAAGACTAGTATCTCTAATGCATAAGTTGAGATCAATCCGAACTGAGCACCAAGAATCCTACCCTCATAGTAGCACTATGCTTTGATCAAGATAATGTTGTGGTTAAAAAGATGGCCTCTCCCAATGTAATGGTTGACCTGTAAAATTTGCAAAAAAGGGTGACATATCAAGCCAAAAACAAAAATTTAGTGCAACAGAGCTTTTAGTTGAATAAAAGCTCAATAGAAGTGGGTTTAGGAACAAAGAAGGATATAGGCAAAACAGTAACGGGTAGCTCATAATCCAAATGTGTCTTCCCTGCCCTCGTCTTTTCCATTGGTCGTTTGAAAGGGATAGAGAAAGAAAAAAGGATGTGAAGTGACTTAGCATCACAAGAATAGTGATTGAAAATCACCAGGAATATGACTTGGTGTTTATTCAACGGATGCTACACAGATGACAGCATTGGGATTTTGTTAGCAAAATTGCAATAGATTCAAACCTGTTCAAGGAAGCTCAAAGAACAGAGTCCTGCCACTTGATTAAAAGAGATTTCTACAGAGATATGCTGCATGAAGCACTTTACAATCTTAACCTGACAACACAAAACCAAAATCAAAAGAACTGATATCTATTGTAAAGTGCATAGTTGATTTTCTATGGTGTGCATAGTACCTTGTGGAGTTATGCTTGAGAACTAGTCCACTTTTACATCCTTATCTGTGATCTACTTTTGCCCAAACCATCTGCCACTTTAACATGACAACATCAACAACTGCGCCTCAATCCCATCAATCCCAAGCTAGTTCCATCTATCACTTCAATTGCAGCCATAAATCAGCTTATATCTTATATCTTTGTCCAAATCCAAATCTTCAGTGTGATAATGTGTCATGAACTTCAGATCTACCGTCTTATGTTTTCCTTGCTTTAATAACTAAATTAGCAAACTAGTGCAAAGCTTAGACTCAGAAGAGAAAATGTATGATCTTGGAAAATATTCTTTTTAAACAGATTTAACATACTGGGTGGACAAGAAAGATCTCTTTAACAGGGTGGCAAAAGTAGATTTCTGCCATGACGCTACTTAGGTGCACATATCCTCATAAATATAGACGCAAAGAAGATGCAAAACATAACTCGCTTAGGCAATGATAAAGAAACTAAATAACTTTTAGAAGCAGGTCAAAGAGGGCTTGTCTTTATTAGTTTGAAACTCGAAAAAGATGTTCCCCTCCACTACGTCATATAAAATGGAAGATATTTAACATCAACCGCCTGCAATTGATATCACAGCGTGTGTGTTCTGTTTAGAATTCTAATACCCAGGATCTCTTGAGTCAATATTAGCCGCTGCCATTTGTGCAACAGTACAAGTTGGTAGCACAACTGCTTAGGTTACTACCATACAATAACAACTAAACCTCAGTCCCAAATAAAGTCGGAGTCCGTGATATGAATCCTCACTTCTTTCATTAAGCCTAACTCATTTCATCATCGTACCAAAATAAAATAAGAGTAGGAGTGAAATATTATATATCTATACACACACACATATATATATTAAAAGTTCTATAACAAATTTAAAGCAAATTCCTAACTAGTAAGTATTACCTATATGGATCTTTTTCTTTCGTTGTGCCCTATCTTTAGTTAGATCTGCATTGATTCCAAGAATTTGTAGGTCTCTCGAGACAACTTCCTTCCATGTGATTTTAGGTCTACCTTGTCCCCTTATAACACCTTCACTCACCATATTTTCACATCTGCGGGCTGGTGCATCTATAGGGTGACGCAGGACATGACCAAGCCATCTCAAGCAGCCTTTTCTCAATTTACCCTCAATGTGTGCTATTTGATGAATGTGGTCATTTTTAATCTTATCTAATCTTGTATGACTGCACATACATCTTATGGATATGTTGGAATTTAGTAGCCCAACATTCACTACCATATAACATTATCGGTCTTATAACTATTCTATGGAACTTCCTTTTACTTCGGTAGGCATCCTTCTATCACATAACACCTCAGTAGGTGTCACACCTCCTTTTTCACTACACCCGCAAAGGTATAAAGGAGTTTTTTCACTTAAAGGACAATCAGAACGGGATTTGTTATTAAGATTCAGAGTCGCCACTTGGGAGATTAATGGTGTCCCAAGTCACCGGTTGAATCCCGAACCGAGGAAAATATGACTCTGTCAACAGTCCGCGAACCAAAAATCTGAGTAAGGAATTCTGTTAACCCGGGAGAAGGTGTTAGGCATTCCTGGGTTCCGTGGTTCTAGCACGGTCGCTCAACTATCGTATTTGGCTTATTTATCTGATTTTAATACATTTTGAAACTTATGTGCCAATTTTAACTTTCAACCGCTTTTACTCAATTTTTAAATGAAAGTTGAACGTCGTCTAAAACATGTCTTTAGATTGCGTCACATGAAATGCACCCGCAATCCTGAACACATTTTATTCAACATTTGGGATTTGATTTGGGTCACATGAGATGCACACCTGAGTTTAAGAAAGTAACTTTATTAAAAAAAACATGCCTAAAGCGACTAACGCGTTATTATCTTTGGGGGGCGTGAAATTCACTAAACGACCCATCCCGAATTCTAAGTAATTTAATACAGACATTTATTGAGGGCCCCGTGATTTAGCCATTTTATTTTGCAAGGCTCATCTCAGTTTATTATTTAAAAGGCAGACATGAAAGCAACTATGATTTTCTATTTTATTTGTCTCTAATAATAAAAGAAAACGTCCTAATTAATTTGTTACTGGACCAAATGATAATTATGCACCACAGTCTAGCCATTGGGCTCCAAGATAAGCCCACCGAAAGGAAATCACACAAGATTGACCAATTGTTGACTGTGGCCCAGGCCCAAACGGGAGCCAATATTCAGGAGGCATGCGTGAGCCCAACCTCACAAAAGGACCTCATTTCGAGCCCCAGGGACTACGACTAGATTTCAGTCACGATTTGGCACGTTTGAAGGCCTCAAGACTCAAGGCCAGATTAACGACTAATTCCCCAATGAGTTTCCAATTGTAATAATGCACAGAAATCATCAATATGCTAACAAATGACCTCAAACAACCAATATGATATTTGTACATTGAATCACTATTTTTGTGACGAGTCAAGCTCAATGTCCTATTGATATCCAAATAAACTAAATTATGCAAGGGTGATTACTGATTTGAATTAAACCTGAGACTGCCAAATTAGAAAATACCACGAGTTCTAGTTAACAAGGCTTAAGAACAGATTCTACGTGATTGGAACATTTGGACACTATTGCACCTCAACCATTTTGATTCCTGATTCGAATTAACACACAGTAGTATTAACATCAGTCATAATTAGTACAAATAAGGCTTGTGGCTTCCAAAATCATTTTTGTTCTTGCTGTTCTAGTTAACTTCTGGATAAAAAAATTTACACTACAAAGCGAAACTAACTGATAAGCTAATGAATGACTGCTGCTCTAATAGTTCAGTAAGTCCATTACAAATTCATAAATTCAAAAATCCAAAATAGTTCTACTTACAATATCCAAATTATGGTCTAACCATTCTGATCTACAAGCTTGTGAACTAACTTTCATTTAACCAAATATACTGAAATCAAATAAGTCTAGGCAGTCCAATTACAGTCAAACTTAATACAAATAATGCATTTATCTAATGAACATCAGGATTGAAAATTAAAACTAAACAACATGTGAAGAGTTCATATGAAATTTAAACAACATCTTCTTCATTTAATACAACCATTGCTCATACATGTGGATTGATTTTCCACCTCAATTGAGTCTGTAAGAAAGGTACCTGGAAGTGAAAACAATGAGAAGGAGTAGATCAGCAGTAGCAAACGATAATCACAGCCAATTCTAATCCAGAAGCAATCTCAAATGAAGTCAACAGATGATAGGACACCAAATTATACTGGAAATTGACCCCAAATGACTTGAATAATACCACACTGACATGAAAATGCACCAATATACTCTGAAACTTTCAACAGACCCAAACCTCAACTAAAACCAACTTGTTCAAACCTAGGTTCACTCGAAATCACTCAGAAGCATCTCTGGAACTTCAAGCTACTAGAAACTGAGCTAAAAATGCAAATCAACTAACTAAAACTAGAAATCAGCTAAGAGATTGAATGGAATAGTACTGTTTTTGTAGTTTTCTCAATTTTTTTTTTGGTTGTTGTTTGTTTTTTTTTTTTTGAAGATTTCAGAAATTTAAAATTCAAATCACAAGTGAAAATTGACTGAATAACTTCAGATGTGTGTAAACTTGGATAGGTTTTTTGGGGGGAACTTTTTTTGAGCTGAAAAACCTCTGTTTCAAGGCATCAATGATGCCCTTTTATAGGCACCAAGAGGGCAGCCCTGAAAACTTCTATTTACCCTATTGGTCCTTCTTTTTTTACTCAATTTAGTCCCTTAATTTCTAACTTATGCATCAAGTCACTATCCTAACAATTATTAAAATTCAAATTGAACCCCTTCTAGAAAGATCTAGAGAACTCTAGTATTAACTAGATCATTATTCTCCTAACCTAAATACCCAATTTGCCCCCTGATTATCCCTGACACTACTAACATTCTAATCAACTATATCCAATCCTCCTAAAGCTAATTGTCTCGCAAATGAACAATGAATATCAAATAAATCTAAACTCAACTAACAAAAGTACTAATTAAACTAGACGAGAATCAAACAGTTTCAAAACAATTTGGAAACAGAATTAAACTAAAAATCTAAAAGAATCAAATTACAAGAAGGGCATTCGACTAAACTAATCAATTTGAACTAATTAAGCTAATATTTAATACTTAAACTAACAGAACAAAACAACAATCAAACTAAAATTAAACTAAACTAAAAAAAATCAAATCAGTGTTGAAATTAGACAAAACCACAACTAATCAGAAAGTTAAGAGACTTATTCATTCTTTTAGTCAGAAGAAGAAGCGAAGAACATAGAAAGATAACAAAAAAACGAAGACTCACGGCTTGACTCGAACTCTTTGATTCAAAATTCGAGCGGTCTTGGTGATATTTGAACCTCGCCAAGGGTCGATTCTTCACAAGGAGAATAGGGAAACTGTGTATTACCAATTTGGTAAATTTCAGAGAAATTAGGGTTTCCGGCCAACCTGTGATGTAATATTCGAGACGTTCCACTGATATTTGAGGGAAAATGGTTGTGGATTTGAGTTGAGGGAGTTGAGGAGAGTCAATGGTGTAAATTTGGTCGGATTTGGACGAGTTTGCGTTTTGGCCGGAAAATTTCGATCGGAGATTCGAACCAAGTGGATGGGATTCGAGGAATGCTATGGCCAGATTCGAGATGAGGGAGAAGAGGAGATTCTAGGGTGTTATTTTGGTCTGGGTTGGAGGCCAGCGCCGCCATCGACGGTGAGGGTTTGGGGCGGCTAAACTAGGGTTCTTCTGAGGAGGGTTAATGAAAGAGACGATGGAGGGGGGGTGAAGGGGTTCGGATAGTCTTATACTAATAAGACCCCACTTCTCCACCGTTGGATTGATCAACCTCGACGGCCTGGATTGATCGACGCCAAACGGCGTCGTTTCGCTAAGGGAAGGGAAGGCCGGGTTGAGACGGGGTGTGGGCCTGGTCTGGGGTGTGTTTGGTCCGATTGGGCTGCGTATTTGGCCCAATTATGGATAGCTTCTTTTCCTCTTTTTTTTTAATTGTTTTTCTTTTATCTCCTTTATTTATTTTTTGTATTTCATTTTGTATTTTTCTGATTTTGTAAGAATGCAAAAGTAAAATAGAGTCCTAGTATATTTCAAAGTTAAACTAATTAACTCCTAAAATTGTGTAAAATTTATTTCATGACAATTTCAACAATTAACAATTAACAATTAAAAATGCAAAAGTGGACTATTTTTGTTATTTTCTTTATATTTTGTTCCAAAACAAACTATCCCCTAATCAATCCTAAAATATGAAGTTAAATCCTAAATGCAAATGCCAAATGTATTTTTTTTTTTTTGTATTTTCATATGAATTAAAATGGACAAAAAAATGCAAACAATTAACAGAAAAAGACACAAAATTCACAAAATTGTAAAATAATGAAAAAGATCATTTTGTTTGAATTTTGGGAATAATTCATATATAGGGCAAAAATCACGTGCTCACAGCTGCCCCTCTTTGCCCGGAAACAGGAAGAGTTTTCGTGCAAAGATAAGTGAGCAAATACGAGCGATTTTTGCCCATTTGAATACTCCGTGGAAGCATTTTTGAAAGATTTTACCGCACCCTCCTCCCGAGGTTGCCTACATATCCTTGGCT